TCCCTGTGTCTCTCCCCTCTCCCCATCTCTCTCCCTCCCCCTTTCCCTGTGTCTCTCCCCTCTCCCCATCTTTCTCCCTCCCCCCTTTTCTCTCCTCCCTCTGAGTGCCACCGGACCGGCCACCCGGTGGCACTTATGTGCGCAGCCCCCAGGTCCCGCCCTGAGTTAGACGTTATCCTTAGTCCTAGGTGTGATACTACTCTGCGTGCTGGATCAACTATAATCCTGACATATACAAAGACATGATTTCCTTCAAACATCTGCTGAAAATGGGTCAAAGTCCAAGTAGACAATGGGACAGCAATGGCATATATAAACCATCAAGGTGGAATGATCCTGTAATATTTTTGTGCTCAAAGAAATCTGGAGAGTATTTCAGATATTTATCTGCCAAGGAAAAAAAGTTGCAGATTTTCGGAAGTCAGAATTACATAGACCCAGGAAAGTGGAAGCTAAATCCAGATATTTTTCAGATGATATGCTACAGATGGTGAAAGCCAGAAATAGATCTTATGGACACCTGTACAAACATAAAAGTTCCATCCTTTTACTCAAGAAGATTCGGACTAAGAGCTCGGAATCAAGATGCCCTATCCTGAATTGGAACTTTTGCATGAGTAATGTCTTTCCTCTGATTTTGAGAATTCTCAAGAAAATCTTGAAAGAAGGTATGGAAGTATATCGACATTCTCATATACTGGATGAGGTAAACTTGGTTTCTGTTTCTTCTCCGATTGTCACAGAAAGACCATTGGGAGATTCCCGTCAAGAAGAATCAAATGTTACAAGGGCCAGTCTTTCACAAAAATGCATCCTTGGTCCAAACTGAAGGCCTGGAGATTGAAAAAGAAATATTTTTAAATCCTGAAAGCTAGGAGGTCTACCCGACAAGGTAATGGTTACCATGCTAAAAATCTAATTATGCATTACAGGTGGAATCTCCTCAAAAAAGTAAGAGAACAGATGTGGATCAGGAGAGTATAACCAGGAAAGAAATTCTATTTCAAGAGAGTTAGTACGAAAGGGTATTTTTAATCTAACAATATAATCTCAAATTCATGTCAGAATGGAATAAAAAGAAAATCGATTTTTTAGATGTGACACTTTCAAATCGTGGACCCAACATAATATCCAAATGTTTTTTTTTAAGAAAACAGATAGAAATAGCTTTGTACGTAGACACAGCTGTCATTATGACCCTTAGTTCAGTGGAATTGCCAGGAGTCAATTCACACAGGTCCGTCGCAATTGCTCAAGTTTAGAGGATTTCCAACAACAAGCAGGTTACATAGTTACATAGCTGAAAAGAGACTTGCGTCCATCAAGTTCACCCTTCCTCACATATGTTTTTGCTGTTGATCCAAAAGAAGGCAAAAAACATAGTCTGAAGCGCTTCCAATTTTGCAACAAACTAGGAAACAATTCCTTCTTGACCCCAAAATAGCAGTCAGATGTCTCCTTGGATCAAGCAGCTATTACCCCACTAAGTAGAAATTATATCCCTGTATGTTATGTTTTTGCAAGTATTTATCCAATTGCTGTTGAAACATCTGTATCGATTCTGATAAAACTACCTCTTCAGGCAGAGAATTCCATATCCTTCTTGCTCTTACTGGTAAAAATAACAAAACCTTTTCTTTGCCTTAGATGAAATCTCCTTTCTGCCAGTCTAAATGTGTGACCTTGTGTCCTATGTATAGCCCTGTTTATGAATAGATTTCCAGATAATGGTTTGTACTGGCCCCGAATATATTTGTATAATGTTATCATATCCCCTCTGAGGCGCCGTTTTTCCAAACTAAAGAGATTTACATTATTTAAACTTTCTTCGTAACTAAAATGCTCAATTCCTTTTATCAATTTTGTAGCTTGTCTCTGCACTTTTTCTAGTGCCATGATATCCTTCTTTAGAACAGGTGCCCAAAATTGCACAGCATATTCAAGGTGTGGATTTATAAAGAGGCAAAATTATATTTTCATCCTGAGAATTTATGCCCCTATTTATACATGACAAAACCTTATTGCCTTAGCAACTGCAGATTGACATTGCATATTGCTCCCTAATTTGTTGTCTATAACAATTCCCAAATACTTCTCGTGTGTGATTATCCCTAATTTACTACCTTAGGAAACTAATTTCTAAGGTATATAACAAAAAGATTTGAAGATTAATATAAATCTCATAGATAAAGGGATCAGATTCAAAGATAAAAAAAAAAAAAAAAAAAAAAAATTTGAACATGCTTTTATTTCTAAGTACTTACCATTTTAAAATTAAGAGAATGCTTTCAAAATACTGGCCAATCATACAGGAAGATGAGATATTGGGCCCTTTTCTCAGTGTCCTCCAACAATATATATAAAAAAAAAATGTTTAAACTCTCTGGCTTCAAATTACAGCATAAAACACACTCAGAAAGATTTTTAAAAAAATAATATGTGGGTTTTAGAGGGTGCCTACAATGTAAAACAATTGAAAATAAAATCAGTATTAAAATGGATTTTATTAGTACAGTGTCTGGTAAAAAAAATATTGGATAAAAGAGGCGGTAGATTGCCACACGGACTATGTGGTATAACAAAAACAATATGTCGGTAGAACAAAAAGGAAGTTAAAAATCAGATTCCTTGAACACTAGAATAACATAAGGAAAAGAGTAAATAACCACACAGTTCCAGTTCACTGTAACACGTGCCCTTATTTTAAATGGCATGACTTAATCTGTCTAGGTATTGGACATTTTAAGCCACATTGGAGAGAAGGAAATAGGGATGATAGATTGGCGCAGCGTGTGACCTTCTGGATACATCAGCTGGGCACTCTGGAACCCGGGAGTCTCAACGCTGAAGTAGATATATGTTTTTATGATGTAAATGGGCATGTTCATCTACATGTGTGGATGTACATATAAATAACTGGTTCATCTAAGTATATGGATGTACATATGAATAAAACTCATCGTATCAGACCCAGTATTGGTTGATTATATCCTTTTTTTTTCTTTTTTTCATTTTTCTATTTCTATTTATTTATTATTTGATCTTATTTTCTATTTATATTTTTTCATTTAAATTTTTTGATTTTTTTTATTTCTATTTATTTTTGTAATTTTTATTTACATTGATTTAAATTTTTTCACATTTATCTTTACATTCACATTTATCATTTTTACATTTATTTTTATTACATACTTTTCATAATCTTCATACACATTCCCCATTTTTTCACGATATTTATGTTCCCATCCACATACAGCTTAATGAACAGTTCCCATATTTTAATTTATGTTTGTGTTACACTTAGCCGAATGAAGTGCTATGGATACACCCCGAAATAGAGAAATTTCAGCTGTTGCATATTTATGTATGTAGTAGCTATTCAGTTAATTTATTAAAACGCCCATTATCTATTAATAAGGGATTAGGGTTTTTACACACTACAATCCTTCTCTATAGGAGGTATAGTATCCATTAGTACCTCTAAGGTATCCATATAAGTTCTATTTTTCCTTCTGAATTGGTTCTAATTGTGTTCATGCATTTATATTGATTTTGAGCATGTCAGACCACCGTCATGCAGACTCTCCTATAGGGAAGATCTTATCGACGACTGCATTGCAAACCGAAGGTGGAACACAAAATGGCCGCCGAATGGAACACACACGTCATCAACATGAGCCATTTAATATTGGTGAACCGGAAGTGACATCGGAGGATGTAATCCGGACGGAGAAGACCAGGAAAACTTAATTTGAAGATGCAAGACAACACCCACTGAATCACCAATAAGAAGAAATTTGGGCCACATAAAAGGAGAGACTCAAGGGGAGAGGGTTATTATTATTATGTTATTTATTTAGCGCCAACAAATTCTGCAGCACTTTACAGTGGGTGGACGAACAAACATGTAGTTGTAACCAGACAAGTTGGACACACAGGAACAGACGGATTGAAGGCCCTGCTCAATGTGCTTACATGCTAGAGTGAGTGGGATAAAGTGATACAAAAGGTAAGTTTAGTATTAGACTAATGACAGTTGAGGCTGGGTGAGCATCTAACGGGGGAGGGAAGTGAGTTCCACAGGAGCGGTAAACTGCTTTTTACTTGATGATTTTTGCAAATTGTTCAATTTGATTTTATTTGGTTGCTAACACTTTTCAGTGGTCCCTGAAGAAATCCTTTTGGACAAAACTTGTAGGACCTGATCCATCACCAAAATATACATATTTTTTATTTGTTTTATACTTTTTATACTAAATAAAGCAGAATTTTTATATTCCTCGACTTGAGTCTGGCCCTTCATGCTACAGCGTCATTGCCAGAGAAAGAAACATTTTTGGATCAGCCCCCCACTTCCATTAGGGGAGGCACCCTAAGGCGATTACATCTCTTTCATTCTGTGAGTGTAACCCAATAAGCGCACACTCCGTCCATCTAGACCACTTCTGCCCATTGGAGTGGTCTGGGTGCCAACTCCCATCACCATTATAAACCGCAATAATTACCTTGCAGAGTTAAGTCCTCCTCTAGTGGTTGTCTATCAGATAGCCACAAGAGGGACTTACATTTTCTTAAAACATGAAAAGGGTGTTAAACGACGCTGGGGGTCCTCAAGCTATGGATGAGCACCTCCAGTGTCGCCAGAATCCCCATAGGAAATGCTTTCTAATGTATTGGTCTAATGCACGTGCGCAGCCATGCGCATTACTTCAAGCAGACGTTGGCAGGGGAGGAGCCTGACCCAGCGCCGAGGGACATCAGCACTGGATTCAGGTAAGTCACTGAAGGGGTTTTAACCCCTTCAGCAACATGGGATGGTGGGTGGGAGGGAGAGGTGCACTGCAGGATTCTGCAGTGCCAGCAAAACGGGTTTGTTTTCCTGGCACAGGAGAGCGCCTTTAACCATTTTTTAACAGTGTTGCACTATTATATGTTTTTATGTTTGTAGATTAACAGCTGTATCCTCTATATTGCATTGGTTGCATTTGTATCTGACTTAGTAATGTGGCTGCTGTGTAGGGGGAGGAGAGTTCTTTTATAATGTCCTTACTTTTAATATTCCTATTCTATCAGCTGAGAGGGAGGAGTTTCACTGATATGTGATGCGGACGTGAATATTAGCCAAGAAAAGGTAATTACACTACAACTGGGTAAGACTTTTTAGTCACTGGAGATTTTAGCTATCCAGAAACTGATTATGTTAGGGACTAGTGATGTCGCGAACCGTTCGCGACATCACTATTAGGGACTAGTTCATCTAGAACAAGTTTTTGAACATGTTACACAATGCCTAGAATAGATGCTTTTCTGGATGCAGTAGTAATTAATCATTTTAAATGATAAAAAGCTAAAAGTGCAATAAATATGGTATAAAAATGTGCAACAGCACCCTCACTGAAATGTAACAATATTCCCCTTTAATTCTCAGAGACTTTTTGAAATTGTTAAAGAATGATATTCATTACAATGTTTGGCAAAGATATTAAAGTTAATGTAAACAAAGTCCCGGGGCCAAATTTTATTCACCTATATGTGCTTAGAGTAGAAATATTCATACCACTGTTTTTACATTTTTCAGGATTCTTTTCTTTTAAGAATTATACCAGAGGATTGTATTAAAGCAGGTGTGGTGCCTATACTTAAAAAGAGTTCAAAAGCTCAGCCCGGAAACAAAGACCCATGAGAGTAACATCCGTGGTTGGGAAATTATTTTAAATATTAAGGGAGAATGCTCAAGAAATCATTTATAACAAGATTATAATTAGCAAGAATCAGCATAGAATGAAATGAAAGGCAGGTCATTACAAACTAAATTAATTGCATGCTATGAAGAAGTTAGTAGAAATAAGTCAGGGTGATGCAGTATGTGTGACCTACTTGGATTTTGCTAAAGCATTTGATACAGTTCCACACAAAAGGTTACTAGTGAAACTGAAATCAGTTGGTTTAAAAAAAAAAAAAAAAAATGTATGTTTTGGGATAGAACACTGGCTTAAAGATAGAGTTGCAATAAGTAGTTGTAACAGAAAACTTTTCAAATTTTTTTCCAAAAGTTTTAACTGGAGTGACTCATGGTAATGTCCTGGGGCTACTTCTCGTTAATCTATTTATAACATTTGTCGATGTTTGCAGATGACACAAAACTAGGTAAAATTACAGGCTGAACATTACATAACTTACTTATAACTCTACAGAGGGATTTGGATAAATTGGGGGACTGGCCAGGCAAGTTGCAGATGAGAAAGGACTTGGGAGCAATTATAGATCACAAACTATACTACAGTATGCAATGCCGGTGTACTAATTTTTTTTGCAGAAACAGAATATTCAATTATACAAGTTGTTGATCCAAGGAGAAATCTGATCACCATTATGGAGTCAAAATGGATCCCCCCCACTTTTGTTACATAATTGGTAATGGCTACAATCGTTTTTGCCTTCTACTGGATCCACAGCATAAAAGAATGGGCTTCATGATTGAACGTGTTGGACTTTATTCTTTTTTTTACCTAGACAACTGTGCAACTAACAGACCAGGGCACAGCATTTCAATTCATATGCTACGACGCAGGTCTAAAAGTTACTCGCAACAGGGTCCATGACACACTCAACAGGAATGAGTTTTCATTTGCCGATAAAGGGCAAGATATTTCTTCTACATGTATCATCATTCTTTTCAGTTACCAATTTCTTTTTCTTTCCACACTATACATGATTAATATAATTCCACTTTGTTCTGTTTGCAGCAATGGCAGAATGTCATCTGCATTTTTACTTTTATTAAAACAATAATGCAAAAGGCAAACCTTTCAGAAGATTCAATAACACAATAGCTAAAAGCAAATGTCGTCTAATTTCAAGCCTCTGTAAATTTAGTTACAGATGTACACAAACCCGACCCATAACCTTCTATAAACGTGTCGATATTCATTGATTTAACAATATATTTTCTTCATGAAAGAACCAATCTGTTAAATTGTGCATATATATTCTTTCAAAAACAAACTCTGCTTTGCTGTCTGCAAAGACCAAAGGTCCTGCAGTGTCAAGAAGTACAATTTCCTATCCTTAGAATAAGCACAGTTTTAATCCTGTAATGCTTGAATGGCTTTCAGAAATTGTTAGTGCAACCACATTACATTATAGGCTTGATTTTCTCTATCATAGGAAATGTCTATCAAATATGCCTTTAACAGTTTTGTGTCCCACTTTGCTTTAAGACACACCTACATTCTGACTGTATTTACTGTATGTGTAGAACATTCCACTTCATGCACAAGCCAGATATACAATTTTCTGATGGCGTCAGCACTTCAATGACCCAATGTCAAAGTTTCTCTTCAGAAATAGATCCTAAGATTCCATGTAACTTGTTCAGTCTGAATCAGAGTTTCTGTGGCAAGACTTGCGCTTCTTTTTTTTCTTTTTCTTCTTCTTCTTGTCTTTTTTCTTTTTCTTTTTCTTGTGCTTTTCCCTTGATCCTGCCGAACTGGAGCTGCTATCACTACTTTCATCAGATGTGGAGTCCTCCAGTAGTTTTTTCAGTTGCTCGATCCTGAGAAAAAAAAAAAAATGTTAACGTGCACAAACTTGTTAAAGGACCACTATAGGCACCCAGACCACTTCAGCTTAATGAGGTGGTCTGGGTGCCTGGTCCAGCTAGGTTTAACCTTTTTTTCTATAAGCATAGCAGTTACAGAGAAGGCTGGTGGCTGTCTCATTGACAGCCGCTAGAGGGCTTCCGTGCTTCTCACTGTGATTTTCACAGTGAGAAGACGCCAGCGTCCACAGGAAAGCATTGAGAATGCTTTCCTATGGACTGGCTGAATGCGCGCACGGCTCCTGCCGCGCATGCGCATTCAGCCGCAGAGGAGGAGAGGAGGCGGAGGGGAGAGCTCCCCGCCCAGCGATGGAGAAAGAGGTAAGTTTAACCCCTTCCTCCCCCTAGAGCACGGCAGGAGGGGGTCCCTGAGGGTGGGGGCACCCACAGGGCACTATAGTGCCAGGAAAACGAGTATGTTTTCCTGGCACTATAGTGGTCCTTTAACCCCTTAAGGACCAAACTTCTGGAATAAAATGGAATCATGACATGTCACACGTCATGTGTCCTTAAGGGGTTAATGTTGCAAAAAAAAATTAAAATATTTGCATCAAATTTTTTACATTGTAATTACATGAGTTTTGGCAAGTCATGACAGCGATTAATTTTTAAAAAGGAACAATGCTGGATACCACATACATTCCTGGATGTATATTTTAAAAAAAAAGCCTGAGGTACACACAGCAGTCCCATCTACATTAATTTTACTTGTTCGGTTTCCGCTTTTTTCCCCCTTTAACACTGCCTCTTTACCTATTCATCATTCAATGGGTTTTCTTCCTGAAATATTTAGTTTCCAATTCAACATCTAGGCTTTGTGGAAGCGTGCAATAATATTCCAAAACTTGTTTTCGGTTGATGACAAATACAGAAATTATGTGTTACTTATCGTAATTCAACACAATTATACATTTGATTTCTCTCTCATATACTGTCTCTTTAATATGACATCACATCCCCCCCCATAAAAAAAAAAACCTAATTAAAAAAAAAAAAAAACTGATGCTGACAAAAGCAGAGGTTGCTGAAGCTAGCACATCGCCAGATATTACCTCATTTGCTTTTCCTGATGTTCTCTCTCTTTTATTAAACCATACATTGGATCTTCATGAGCCTTAGGAAAAACACAAGATATTTTATTAGTTTTCTATTACTTTTGAATATTATACATTTCACTGTCTAAAAAGCATATCAGCTACTTGAACGATGATATAATGCACACACTTTTGGCATGGAACATTGGGACAAAGCTTCAGCAGCATATTAATTCATTTTTCGTGTGTTTAAAGGTAGAATACAGTCCAAAGATAAAGCTGCATTAACAGAAAATGAAGTCACGTTGTATGTAACTGTTGTGCAAACAAATGTCTAGACCAAATTCAGAACCTAGGTAATGTCACACATATACATAAGCACTGCTACTCTCACAAGTTATAAAGGAGAGACACTAAATGGTTGAATGCTGCTTCCTTGGTGCAGTCTGCCGTTTTAACAAATTCTGGATAATACATGAAAAATAGGAGAATGCCATTAGCCTTGAGTGCCCCTTAAGCCCTAATGTATTTTTTTTTCTCTTTTTACAGTTCATCCCATTTGTGCTGCAACACAGGCCAGCTCTCTCCCCTATCACAATATAATTCACAACACCAGCCAATCTACAGCGTTTCCCTCATTAATGCACTGTCGCTCCTTATCTTCACCCTCTTCCTCACTCCATCTACCTGCCTGTCATTAGACACCCTATTCCACTTTTCCTTCCCAATTTAATTCCTCCATAATAATTTAAAGCTGGAGGTGATCATGCTTGGATAAAGGTGTGCACCCCAAAACCTGTCACTGATTTTTGCTCCTCTTTCTCACTGAACAGTCCCTGCCACATGCAGGATGGAAGGAAGGAGCAGTGAGATCTGGGAGTTGAGAATCATCACTAAATAAAAAGGGTTATTTCCTATGTTTTCCTGTGAACCAGAGCTACACTTTGCACAGGAAATATGCTTACCGATGGTGGTGAATGTAAGTATGACATATGTTCTCCAGTTTTTAGTAAGGCACGTCTACAGACAATAAATCACAGATTACTGCATTTATTCAATTGATTGAAAAAGTATAATGGTTCCTCCCCTCTTGTACAACACATTATTTTCATGTCCTCAAGAGGAGGGTATTAATCCCCAAAATATATAAGTTTATATAGATAACATAGCATGTACTACCAGGGAGAGTTTAGCCACCAGTTCAATGATATCCAAAGGAGTTTGGATAATGTCAAAAAATCTCAGATGCATATTACCTCATCTCCACGAACATCCCGCATTTCAAGATCCTGACAATCTTCTATATGAAAAGGAATTTTCAGTTTAAAGCACCTTCTTTTGTGTAAATCTCATCATACGGTCACTAAGGTGCAACCCTTATAGATTTCATGAGACTTTAGAGAATCAAAATATGCCAGTACCTGGACAATATTTTCAAAGTGACTCAGTTTCAAACAGTCTCAAACTCATAATGCGAATGCAAAGATAAATACTCTTATGGGTTGAATATCATTATCCCAAGACGTGGTCTGGCTTCTATCTACTTAAATAAAATGGACTATATAATTCCAAAGTAATGCTACCAGTTAAAAAGCCAAGAAAATAAAAATTACAGTGAGGATGAATATTCTCTTTTTTTAACCTTGATGAAAAGCAAAAAAAATTTTCAGATGATCTTACTCTTCGCTTGTTGTACATGTATTTTGAGTTTGCATATTTTACAAAATAAACAAGCATTACTCAAGTTTTGCATGTGTCAATGCACTAAAACATTAATTTCTCCCAATGTAAATGTATAAAAATATATATACATTGAAATATCATGTTGGAAATAAGTCTGTAATTTAAAAATCTATCACTTAAACTTGGATAGAAATTGTAGAGGTTAAAATTGTGCAAGGTGCACTGTATAAACTAATGTTTGAACTATTTCTCTGAGTAAAGGATATATTAAACACAACAAGATGCTTCATACAATTTATATCCACTTATCTCCGTTATATTAACCAATACATAAAAAAACAAACAAAAAAAAAACTAAAAACTTACCACTCTGAACTGTTCAATCTTTTGATTGCCTTTTATAAAGTAAGGGCATTCACGGTCACCAGTTCTGTGGCCATACTGCTTACACCTCCAACCTACAAAACAAAAAATAAATGGCAACTTAATTTGACATTGAAAATTTGTGAATAGTTCAGCAAACGAGGTATAATACATCCTGTTAATCTTGCTGTTTTCACAAAAGTCTGTTTCTCTATACATATGCATAGGTTTCCCCCTAGTGTACAACCGTGTGTATAGAGAAAATTAAAAAAGTAAAATTATTCTGCGTAAGCCAAAACTGTTATCACCGTCAATGTCTGTCAATGCAAAAATAAAGAATTGATAAAAAAAAAAAAAAAAAGTTAAATTAAACTCTAAGCCTGTAATATCTTTCTTTACTTCAAAATGTTAGTCTTATTCATGTCAGTGCTAATCTCTGTTCAAAAATCCATATTTCTAAAGATCTAAGACCTTTGGTGGCAACTGGCAAAACAGTTCACTGAACACTCTGTCATGTACATAGTGTACATGTTATGTTCCTATATTCATTGTGGATAACACAACTAATGTAACTGATGCAAACGACTGCTCTAATTTCATGTTCAAAATCACTACTTTTTCATTTCTGATTTTTTTGTTTTCTTATATACTTTTGTATACTTAAAAATTAAGGATATTCCACCCTTTTGTATACTGCATTACTTATAAACTCTCAATAAAATATAAGTTAATAAAGAAGAGTCTTCCATGTGCATATTACACAACTCCACTGTATGAGAAAAAAAAATAATAATAATATTGCACTCACGGGCAAAAATATAGAAAACATGTTATGGATCTCACCGGGTCCTTTCGCAAGACAAATCTTCAGAAAGGAGCCGATGAAGTCAGAAACATTTTTTTTAAATCTGGAATAAACACATTCTCTACATTTTTTGCAACAAGTCCTGTGAGTGTCAAAATAGTTTTAATACTGTGGATTTATGTGTCGCCTGTATAAGAGCACCTAGGCATTATATATGAAAAACATGTATCTAGAAAAGTCTGCTTAGGTCTATCCTTAGTGATCTTGCTATTCCACTCTCTTTTGAAATCAGGAACTCTCCTATGAACATCGTGGACCAAGACTCCATGTACCATATGAAGCTTGGTTGTAGGACACACTGTATAGTTTATTACTTACTTTTAACATAGGCATTTTTTATTAAAATTTTACAAAATTAAAGGGACACTCCAGGCACCCAGACCACTTCTGCCCATTGGAGTGGTCTGGGTGCCAACTCCCACTACCCTTAACCTTGCAACTGTAAAGATTGCGGTTTTCATAAACTGCAATATTTACCTTGCAGGGTTAACTCCTCCTCTAGTGGCTGCCTACTAGACAGCCACTAGAGGGCACTTCTGGGTTTATAGTACAGATTGTCTGTGCTATAGCGTCGCTGGACGTCCTCACGCTATGTGAGGACCTCCAGCATTGCTGAAATCCCCCTGTCGCTGGCTGCGCATGCACAATAGGTCTCCCCCGCGGATGGCGGCAGCGGGGGCAGACCCTGAACCAGTGCTGAGGGACATCGTCGCTGGATACAGGTAAGTCACTGAAGGGGTTTTAACCTCTTCAGCAACTTGGGATGGGGGGGTGGGAAGGAGAGGGGACCTGCAGTGCCAGGAAAACGGTTTGTTTTCCTGGCACTGGAGAGTCCCTTTAAGCATTTGGGTTCAACTTCATCTTTCAAAGGAGAACAACAAGTATAATATATTTGATTATCCCATTACAGTCACGTCTGGATAATTTCTTAAATAGATAATCATTACGAGCTAGTATCTAAAGCTGATATAGTCTTAAATTAAACCAATTATCTAGAATTAAATCAGCAGAGAAGTATATAATACACAAAATATAACAAATATAACATAAATGTCAGGTACATCATAAACATATAAAAACAAAGACATAAGGACATCCTTTGGGAACAAAAGAATTGGCGATACCAATATCGCTTCATTAATAATATTAATTCAGCCAAGAACCATTTTCGAGATAACAGTGTTTTACCAAACAAATGTAGCTATGCAAGGGCTTTTTTTTTTTACTAGAGATAAGCAATCTTTTCTATATATTAATCAAACCAGTTTGTCCATATCTTGTTATAGGTAACAATATTATTTTCTTTAAAATAATCCCCCTTTTCCATTAGACCTTGATATTGAATTTGGGCTTTAATCTCTAAACGCAAGGCATTTAATCCACGTCCACCCAGGGGGAAAGCAAGGCCACCCAGGTATACAGCAGAACGGATCCCACGGAGGCAAAGAGCCAGAAACCCACTGCCATAAAGTATCCACTCCACCGGATCCACAGCAGGTCACCCAAACCTCAGGTAAATGAGTGGGTTCAGTTTCACTCTTGGTAGAAATGCCCTGTTAGTCTCCGAGTTTAGACATTCTGGATTCAATTTGAAATGGATTAACATTTAGCGTTCCATAGGGTGTCTGCTAAGTTAACCACACCTGCGGCAACGGCACCACATCACGTTACGTGTACATCGCCTGTCAACACAGGCTTTTTTGATTGCTTTGGCATGGAAAGCAATTCTTTTTTTTTTAAAGCGTGATCTGCTCTCCTTTTTGTCCTGTTTGGTATAGTTTCCTGTGCCCGGAGATCAGTGGAAACACACAGCAAAAGGGGATAGTGTAACCCATTAAGTGGACACACTGTGAGGACATCTGAGCGCCTACCCTTCTAAGTAGGCAGTTGCTACATATTCTGAGGCGTGGTGAGGATCATGTTATTTATATGGGCAACTCAAAGCTTATATTAAAACATATGCGTTGTTCTATATCTTGGGGCTGAAGTTTCCAAATGAATAGCCTCTTGTCTACTATTTTTGTAAGACATCAAAATACTTTTATACTTTTGTTTTGTATGTTTGTCTTTTTAATGTTTTGAGATCCTCCAGTGCACAAAAGAAAAAAACATTAAGTATATGCGTTGCACTCTATACTTTACAGAAATGGTTTTATGCCTGGTTGCTTGGTTTCCGTTCAAGTGAGGGGGAACCACATTTGTGCAGGGCAGCTATAATTTTTTATATTATTTTGTTAGTGCTTATTCACATTGAATAAACCTAACTGAATATTAAAGTTAAATTTAATTTTAATTTTTTGACAACAGACTGTCTATTGGTAACACCATACACTACACATAGACAAAATAACAGCTGTTAGCTAAAAGTGAAGTCAACAACAAAACTTACACTGCATGACCTTGACTTCTTTGCCTAAAGGCATCCACAGGCCTCTAGTAGGGGCATGAGCCAAAAAATCTCTAGCGTGCTCATTACCAGGCAAATCTGGTATGCAATCTTCTGGTTTAGGTTCATCTTCCTAAGAGAAAAGATCACAGTTAAGCATAAATCTCCCATTTTTGTGATTATTTTAACCATCATGCATTAATACATCAAACTATACATTGCTGCAAAAATATATGCCATTGTCCTTAAAGGAGCACTATAGAGTCAGGAACAGAAACATGTATTCCTGACGCTATATGGTTAAAACCACCATCTAGCCCCCCGGTCCCCTCATGCCTCCCCAAATATAGTAAAATCTTACCTGTATTCAAGCCTGAAGCTGCTTACATGTCCCTGTTTCCTTTAAACCTGCCCACTGCCTGCTGACATCAGCAGAAGTGGTAGCCTGATCCAACCCCCAATGCTTCCCCATAGGATTGGCTGAGACTGACAAAGAGGCAGATCAGGGGCTGAGCCAGCACAATTCAAACACAGCCCTGGCCAATCAGCATCTTCTCATAGGGATGAATTGAATCAATGAATCTCTATGAGGAAAGTTCAGTGTCTGCATGCAGAGGGAGGAGACACTGAATGTTTGGATGCATTTTAGACAGCTATGACCCAGGAAGGATCTCTAACAGCCATCTAAAGAGTGAACAGTGAAGTTATCACTAGGCTGTAATATAAACACTGCATTTTCTCTGAAAAGACAGTGTTTACAGCAAAAAGATTGAAGGTAATGATTCTACTCACTTGAACAAATTCAATAAGCTGTAGTTGTTCTGGTGACTATAGTGTCCCTTTAATCATGTATTCATTTCAAGGAAATATAACGTAATATCTCAAATATCCGGACCTTTCAGTCAAAGTAGCTCTGATGGTCAGGCATTCTACAAATTAATGTCTCTGGTACTATGTTAGACAGAAAAGAATCCATGTTTAACTTGCAAGAATTTGGTACCAAACAATTGATGGGTAAATATGCACACAGACATTCATTTGGACATTTCATTGTACCAAAGAAACAGATTAAATGTATCTCTATTTGCATAAAATGCCCTGTCTGTGCCTTTGCAGAAAGCAGTTTTAATATTAACTACAAATGCAAATTACACAAATAGTCACAGCCTATTTCATGCTGGATTATCAAAAATACTGAGCTCTGAAACATGCCCTGAAGTTGTTAATTAATAATATGAAGGAGAAAATTTAGGCATAAGGTTTGTAATGTTATTTTGCCTTAGTGTCTTTTTGTACATATAAACATCTGATATGACTGAGCATTATCTGAGTGAAACAAGACTCATTCCAACTTCTGATTCTTGAAAGCACGTTTCTCAGTTTATCACTTTTATTGTACAGCATACAGAGAAACACAAACAGCACAGGCTTGTTGTGAGTGATAAAAAATATTTTGAGATGTTTTATAGAACAATTTCTTAAATAAGTCATTACTTTGTGCTTGGACTCTAGAAGCATGTTGGTTATAATACATTTGTATCCCTGGAGGATTTGTGGCATGGCACTAAAAACAGACAACTTGTTTCATGCAGCACAGTACACTGAATAGATTAATAAAAAAGGAATGATAACTAACATTCACATTATTTCACTTAAGACTTATCTTGCATATTCCGTCCATTACCTTGATTAATCCTGGTGGCGGTTTCTCATAGCTTAAAGAGAGCAAAATGTATATTTATAATAGACAAGTCATTAAAGTCCACAAAAAATTAGTATGTTCTCTAATACAAAAGTACATTTCACTTAGATTTACAGAACTATTATTTTCCACACACATACATTTATTTAAGTTCTGTAAATATTATTGTGATTTTAATACGCAGAATTGATTTGTGGACTGCATACATTTTTATACAAAATTGGATTTTAAATCATATATAAGCATTTATTTTATTGATAAATATAACTCACTTTGCACTTAACTTTAATTTTTAAGGCTTGACCTATATAAAATAAATTGTCTAACTGTATATAATGCATGATCTTTGGTCAACACCATTTGATGCCAATCAAAAGCAATTAATTATATGTCTAGAAGGAGGGGATATGTGATCACTTCATTTGCTTTACAATATATAGACTCTCTTGCATTAAGTCACTGCAATAACTAAAGTGACAGTGCTTTTAAATATATATTATCAATGCATTGTGATAAATCTGCTCTGTATGAAAATACATATTGTTAAAGTGATATTCCTATTAAAAACTCCTGAAATGTATACATTTCCAGAATTTTTCTCCTCAAAGTTGACCTAACAAAAACTGAAAGATGCCGCACTCTATAAAAAACAATTTGGAAACCTTGAATGATCTAAAAATATAATGGGGAACCGATAAGCCTCCAGAGGATCTAAAGTGATAAGATACCCTAAGAATTCGGTGGTACCAGATATTTCCCCCTGTAATCCTGTGAGAGCTTTAAAAAGTCATTCTAAGCACAATAAACACTTTGCATTACTGATTAAACTGTCTCATTCTGGTGTGGAAGGGTTATGGAACATTTTCTTTTTATAGTAATTTTTAATGTATTACCTACATAATCCATATAAAATTATAGGTCAGTTTTAACTATGCAATCATTTTGAAGAGCAAAGGCATAAGGCTCAAACACAAAGTATGAAATCAGCCTCTATAAGGTAATCTTTGTAATTTAAAATCGGACGGGCCATAAAATTAGGTAAGTCTGTAAGTTTAGACCAACGGATTACCAGTCGATGTAGATCTCTAGACATTAAATATTTTACAAAAATAAGAGGGGGAGTGGGGGCAGAGCAGATGTTATATATGGATAAGAAGGTAAAATGTGAACCCCAAAGAACCATAAACAGATAAGTTGTCTGTCAACATTTTAAAGGACACTGCATCATCTAATTGAACTGGCTATAGTGTCTGGAGTCCCCTGGTGCTGTCCTTTGATTCAGCATCAAACAGTTTTTAACGTTTTTATTTGGGATCAACAGACTATCAGTCTAGCCGATATTATCGGTCGATATTTAGCCTTTTCAGCAATAGATACATTGCCTATAATGATACCGATATTAACCATTAACCATAATAAAGATAATTTAAATATTTTTAAATTAATGTCAGGTGGTTTTCTGGGGGAACAAAAATATTCAAGGATTTAATTCGTGGGGGAACAGCTTGTAGATCCAATGATCCAAATTTGATTGCAATTTTCTGTCACAAAACCAGTTTTCACATTTTGTTGTACATTTGGTAATCATCTCAAAACAGGTGTTTCACTTTCGGTGTATCCACAGTAGAAATGCATGTGTAAAAAGCTGAACTTTACGGACTTTAGTCTTTATTTTTAATCCATATTATTAGGCAACTGGTTATAACTTAGAATCTTTCATGATGCATGACTAAGAACTGACAGAGGGGTGATATGTGAAAGGCCTGGCAGCATCATTCAACGTGGATTGTGTAAAAAAAAAAAAAAAAAAAAACTTTTTACTTACAAAATCTCAACATGCTTAATCTTTTGGATTTCTTGAGACATGTTACTACCACCACTGCTGCTTCTCCTCCTCTTCCTCTCATTGGAGTCTCTCTCCCCATGGCTACTACTTCCTTCTCTGCTGCGACGTTTGTGGCTATGTCTATCTCGTTGCTCTTCTTCTTTCCCTCTACTAGACATTCTCAGCACTTGTGAGTTTTCAGTCAATGCCAACCTTCACATTACTGGTAAAAAATATTATTGAGACATATCTACTAATTAATCAGTATTACATCTTAGTAAAGCAGAAAAAAAATCAAGTTTAATATTAATATTAAAAGAACATTCCAAGAACCAGAATCACTAGAGTGTGCTGTTGTTTGTAACGCTTACTCCAGTCTCAGTAGTTAATGCATTTTACTCTATCCATGGGTTTATCAGGCACCACTCCACACCTCTACTCCAGTTATGCAGGAACCAGAAGCTCTCTGACCTAAGCCCCCCTTGTGCAGTGCTTAGATCATTGGTTGAGAGCAGTTGATGCACTAGTGCTAATGAAAACTCCAGGAGCTTCCGGCTCTGAAGATAAGAGGCGCATGGTGGGGGAAATTTTTCACACCTGAACAATTTCTACATATCCCTAAAAAGACAAAACAGAATGTGATGACCATAACAACTAGTTTATTCTGTTAGTTTTTATTATACCTTTTGCATTATGTGGCATCTGTTCTAATTGATATGTGTTTCAAAAGAGTATACATGTGACCAGGACAAGTTGGGATTCAGTAATACAAATTGTCAGAACACGGGAAACCCAGGAATATGTGAACATGAAAACAACTGAATGCCCAGCAAGGAAGAATAACCATGTCAGGCAGTATTATGGTAACTGTAGTTCCACAGAACTTAGGACTCAATTGCTATAGGGAGGGCTGCCAGATCACATTATTTTCACAATACACTCCATCTTGTTAAAAGATGTACATGAAAAGTGCTGCCCTGAAGTGTGTAGCATTCATATGTTACTGAATTCGTTAGTTATCAATGGCTTATCTGCCTGCAACATTTGTATTCCGTATACAGCTGCAATTTTGTTGCACTGACCATCACTATGTGAAAGCAGTGTGACTAGGAAAACATGATCAAATATGAACTATATTTTCCAATTCACTACAATTTAACAAATAAACCCTGATGAAAATAATCAGTTTTCAATTAAACACAGATCTAAAGGAAGCGGATTACCGAATTCCAAAGTTTATTCAAAATTCTCCATTTCAACTACAGTCACAATTTGGCTGTTTTTCGTGTGAATTTTACAATTAAGCTTTGAATTCACTGTGTAATGCATAAAGCCTAACACAATGATTCATACAAGTGCCCACACAATATAGATCATTCATAGCCAACCTCTGGCACTCTAGCTACAGCAGACTGCTTCCCACAACGCTCAGCCACCATGGCGAGGCACCACATAAGATAACCTGGTGCAGGGTAGCAGATGAGGTACAGGAGGTCAGCCCTGTTACCCAATACAACTGAGCACCAGTCCTTGGGACACGATATGCCCTTCGTTGTAATAGTGGTGAATTCAAAGCAGGGATTTTACCTCTCACAGAACTCTGCCCACTCTAAATAAACAGAACGTGGTGAATCCATGTAAACTTTAAACAGAGTAACCGTTACACATCTATCACCATTCGGAACTACAACAGCGACAACTCACTCAACAATCTCATCCCGGATGTTATGATATTCATCATATGGTTTCTGGGTCATAGAGTTCAGGGCTGGGGGAAAAAAATTACAGAAAGAGACAAGCGACCACTTCCTGTTAGAGTCTTCCTACTGTTACTTATGATGGCGCCCTCTGGTGGCTCTGTGCACGCACCTATTAAAAGTAGAAAAATAAATATAGTATATTCAATTCCATCTACACATTGTGCTAGTGGAGTGGCTAGCAAATGTGTTAGAAAAACATAAAATAAGCTATTTAAAAATATAGTCCCTCGTAGGAACACTATTAGCCCAGATATAACTTAGTAGGACACTATAGATAGGCACCCAGACCACTTCATCTCAGTGAAGTAGTCTGGGTGCCAGGCATGCCCCTGTTATTTTAAACCCTGCAATGTATAATGTTCTGCAGGAATGGCAATGTTTACATTGTAGGGTTACAACGCCACTTGTGGCATTGGACTGGAAAGCATTGAAGTGGCTCAGATCCACTACACCAGGGTAGTGCAGGGGTCCTCAAACTCCGGCCCCCCAGATGTTGCTGAACTACAACTCCCATGATACTTTGAATTACATAGATAGCCAGAGAATCATGGGAGTTGTAGTTCAGCAACATCTAGGGGGCCGGAGTTTGAGGATCCCTGCACTACACTGATTATCTCAGCCAAACAGGAGGAGCTTCACTACTGAGCAGTAAGGGCTGAAGCCCCTTTAACTCTCACATGGGGAGGGGCATGCAATTAAAATAGTGTTAGGAATACATGTTTCTTTAATGGAGTGGTGTTGGTGTAAGGAGTCCTTTCAGACTCTGTACTATCAATACTGCCTTTTCTTTGAAAAGGCAATGTTTACATTTCTCCCTAAGGGCAGCTCTACTGATGATCACCTAGAGAGCCACTTGCGGTGCTTCCTGACACATTATTTGCAGGACCAATGTTCGGTGTCCTCATGCTTTGCCGAGGTTAAGTGGTCTGGGTGACTTTAGTGGTCCTTTAAGGACACAAGCAATTTTGCTATTTTTGCAATTGAGTGTTCAACCGCAAAAATATATATATTTCTCATTTATTGCAGATATTATATACCATTTTTCTAAAGGACAAAGGGGCTTTAATTTAAGGTGACATATTTCATATACACTATATAGACAAAAGTATTGGGAAACCTGACCATTATACCAACAAGGACTTTTATGACATTGCATTTTAAATACATAGACATTAATATGCAGTTAATAAGTCACCACTATTCTGGGAATGTTTTCCACAAGAATTACCAGATTTTACTAATTACATGATGTAAAGTCATGATTTTATTAAGGACACGGAGGCGAGTATTAGGCTTATCTCTTTCTTTTATTCCTCAGCAGCAAAGAAAGCTAAGGTATTCATAATGTAGAAAAGTTGAACAAATACCCTCATAGGGTTAACCATTACATCACTATATCTTAACCAATGGGAACAGTCCACATATCATATAGTCCCATGTGACTCCCATCTCTTCCTCCTTCCTGTTGATGCCGAATCTAACACTTAAGAACAACAAATAACACATAAATTGAAACTTCAAAACTAGGCCGAAATCCAGGCGACGAATCTTTCCTAGGGAGAGCTGGATCTTCTGCAACTGATCCTCTCAAACTGTGGAAGATGTCAATTTGCCGGTCGTCTTATAGGTTTTCAGGCTAGAAGGGAACAGAGAGAACAAATGTTAAAATACGTTCCCATAACTATTTTCGTATTATCATAATAGGGAAACCATCCACTGATATATTCCTTTATAGTTATATTTTTTTTAAAAAGACCTACATTAGGTAACTGTTAGCATCACCGAAGCAAAGCAGTAGCATGATAAATGTCCAAATGTATCATTTCTAGGTGGGCTAATACTCGCCTCCATGTCCTTAATAAAATCATGACTTTATGTCATGTAATTAGTAAAATCTGGTAATTTTATTACAGGACACGCAAGCTCATATTAGGCTAGTTCAAAGCTGTGAAATAACTGTAGATGCAACATGTTCTGTAGGTCGAAAATAATGTTCTCTAAACGTAGATTCACAGGACCAATCTGCTGTTCTAAGGAGGTCCTCTAGTAGAGTGAGCGCCATATCTAGATGTATCTATGTTTGCCAAGGTCATAATCCATTTCATCCATCGGGCTAGCGTCGCTGTAGAAACCGGATGATGAGGCATTTTGATGGCCAAGAACAACTCTTGATTTATTGGACTCCTGAATTCCAGGGTTCGTTTTTTGTATTCTCTTAGGCGCGCCACCGGGCAGAGATTAATGTTATGTGGAAATGTCGGATAAAACACTGAGGTAGTCGATGACTTCGTCCACCTGGCAAGGTTGAATGACATTCCCGTGGGGGTAAAGGATCGTGCATCTATGTCCAATGCCTGAACATCTGAAACCCTTTTACAAGATATCAGGCAGAGGAGCATGACCAGTTTTGCTGATAGCTGTTTAAGCGTGAGTTCCTCGTTTCGTGGCCAAGATTCCAGTAAACGGAGGACCAGATTCACATCCCACAATGAGGAGTATCGAGATTGGGGTGGTCGAGCATATTTTATGACTCATAGGAGCTGGCACACCAGCAGTTGTTGACCGGCTGGAGTCCCTTCTAAGCCCTGATGGCCTGCCGAAATTGCCGATCTATAGACGTTAATGGTACGGTAAGCCAACCCTTGGTTATATAACTTGGTAAGGAAACGCAACAGGTAATTTACAGGAGCACGTACGGGATCCACCTGTTGTTCCATGCACCAACTACTCCATCCGTTCCAGGCATATTGGTAGGATCGTCTCATTGCAGGTGCCCATGCTCCTGCCAGTAGGTCGAGAGTGTCCTGTGGAACATCTGGTATGACCCAGGGTCCCCGGAAAGGAGCCATGCCAAGAGTCTGAGATTCCCTTGGATCAGGAGGGGGTGTGAGTTGCCCTCTGTGTCCCGTAAATGGTGTGAGACCTCTGGAAGTAATCTTGGAAGGTCGATGGGAAACCTCCATGAGGGAAGGGAACCAAGGTTGAGCCGTCCAGAATGGAGTTATGAGGACCAACGATGTCTGCGCTCGTCTGTGCCATGAGGGCGAAAGGAGGAAAAGCGTACAACCGTCCCTTCGGCCAGTGTTGGAGGAATGCATCCGCTGCTAGGGCGTCTGGATCTGGTCTCCAGCTGAAGAACGCTTGTAACTGGGAGTTCAAGCAAAATGCAAAAAGGTCGATGGACATCGGACCCCAGAGTGTTTGAAGTTGTAGGAATATTTCGCGATCCAGTCGCCAATCACGGGCATAGCGAGAGAGTAGTGTGTGAAGTCTTTACCCGTTGGATTTAGGGCCCTCCAGCAGTCGACCAGACCTAGGCTATTCAAGGAATTTCGAATGGATCGAATATTGCGTTGGGGAATGCAGCTATGACCTGAGGATGAGTCCAACGTCGGGTCCAGGGGGGCGTTAAAGTCCCTTTCCATCAACAGGGTGCCCTCCGCGAAGTCTCGCAGTTTGGTCAATGTTCCCTTCAAGAACGTGGCTTGGTGTCTATTGGGGACATAGATTGTGGCAAATGTATATATCTTATCTGCGATAATACCTTTCAGGAAAAGGTAACGCCCGTGCGCGTCCTGGTGCTTGTCTAGTTCTGTAAAGGCAAGATCTGCTGCGAGCAATATGGCCACACCAGATGTGCGAGCAGAAGGGTGGTTGCAGAAGTGGTTGTTCGGGTATGATTTGTTGCGCAGGGAAGGGGCCACCCCCTCCCTAAAATGAGTTTCCTGGAGCATCGTCACCGAGATGTGCTTTTTCATCAGTTCTTTTAAGAGATGAGTTCTACGCTCCGGAGCATTCAGACCCCTGTAATTGAGGGTGAGAGTCGATATTGGTGCCCTACGGTACGCCATCTGTTATAGGTGGAGACTAGTAACTGTGCCCCTATGCCGTAAATTCAGGCACGGGGAGCCCCAACCCCTGCGGCCAGAGAGCGACCCCGGGCCCCCCGCGCGGACGAAGGAGAGAGAAAGAGAGAGAGAGGGGAGAAGGGAGGAAGTAGGAAGAAAAAAAAAAGGGGGGGGGAGACGGGGTCGAGAGAGATTAGATAGGTGCGCAGTGGGAGTTTGTTGGTAGCGATGAGTGGAGGTGTGCGTTTGTGGGGTGTGGAGGTCCTAGTGTAGAATGTGTGGAGTGATGTATGAAGGTATATATAGGTGAGGTGTTGAGATCCTTCTTGGGATTACGTAGATCCCGTAACTAAGACCATCTCAACTTTAGATGGCACCACCTTAACGCAACCTATGGTGAGCTCACGGAGGCTAGACAAGCACTGAGAGACCTTATCGTGAAGAGGCACCTCCGCGCCCTACAGAGCACGAGAGGCTTCTTCTATGCTCACTCTAACAAGGGGGGTAAGTATCTAGCCCGACTGCTGAAGGGCACCAGCCCACGTACACAAATCCGCAGCTTACGCCTTACATCGGGCGCGGTCTCCCCCTTCCCTCAGGACATAGCGGATGAATTTAGACATTTTTACCAATCCCTGTACAACCTCCAACCGCATGGGGGGCAGGACCGATCGCAGCACAATCAGGCCCTGCGGACCGAATACCTAAATGTTACTGTCACAGAAAGGATTGACCCCGACTCTGCGGCGGCCCTGGACGCACCTATTTGCACGGAGGAGTTGGTCATGGCCCTGAAGAGATCTAAAACCGGCAAGGCCCCAGGACCGGCTACTATAAAAAGTTCGCCGAGAGACTCCTGCCGCGGCTCATGAACGCCCTTAGCGCAGTGGGGGGGGGGGAGATTCGGCCGGGAATCCCTGTCGGCAACAATAACCGTTTTACTAAAACCTGGGAAGGACCCACAATGTTGTGGTAGCTATCGTCCGATTTCCCTTATAAACGTTGACACCAAATTGCTGGCAAAGGTGCTTGCTACAAGGATCCAACCCTATCTTCCGCATCTGATTCATGCGGACCAAACGGGCTTTATCCCCGGGCATGAAGCGCGGGTTAGTACCCTAAGACTCTTCTCCATCCAACACCTAGCGAGGAGGAGGGGGGAACACCTTCTGCTGCTGTCGACAGACGCGGAAAAGGCGTTCGACCGGGTCAATTGGCAGTATATGCAGGCCACGCTAGAGGCGATGGGCCTGGGGCCGACCCTTCGGACGTGGATAGCGGCTGTATATAGCACACCACGAGCTTCCGTGAGGGTCAACGGTGCCCAGACAACCGATTTTGCGATACATAACGGTACTCGGCAGGGATCCCCCCTCTCCCCACTGTTATTTTCCCTGTCCTTGGAGCCACTTCTACAGGCGATCCGCTTGAACAGGGGTACGTCGGAGGGGGATCCACGCATAAAGTGGCGGCGTACGCGGATGATTTACTTTTTTTTTGTCAAACACCCGCGAACCACTCTGCCGAACTTGTTGGCGGAATTTGACCGCTATGGTGCAATATCAGGATTTAAATGTAACCTCACAAAATGTGAGGTACTGAACCTTACACTACCCGCAGCGGAATTCAGGGCGCTGGAATCTGAATTCGCATTCAGATGGTGCAACGGCAAAATGAAGTACTTGGGTGTCTGGGTAGCCACGGACCCCGGGAGACTCTATGAGAACAACTTCCAACCCCTCCTGCATACAATAAAAACGGATTTGGCCAGGTGGGCCCTCCCACACATAACATGGCATGGGCGCATAGCAGTGCTCAAAATGAACGTACTACCCAGGGTGCTATATCTCCTACAGACATTACCCATCACACACCCGGCGTCCTTCTTCTCCTCCCTGAAAACGGCAGTGCTCTGTTTTACGTGGCGAGGCGAGCGATCCAGATTGCGGCATGACATCCTCTGTTTGCCTAGGTCCAGTGGGGGACTAGCTCTGCCGGACTTTAGGAAATATTACCAGGCCACGGTCCTCCAGCGCATCCTAGATTGGCATCAGAACCCCTCGCGAAAGCTTTGGGTACAGCTGGATAGGAAGGCAACGGAGGGTAGGATAGAAAGCATGATCTGGGGAGGGGACCTGGGGCCTGGGGAGCGGGGAGTCGAGGAGGGACCGGTTACACACACACTCCGGGGCTGGAAATCTCTAAGGAAAAAGCTAAACATATCACCCACGCCTAGCCCACTTCTCCTGGTGACACTTAACAGAGGCATTGGGGGAGGCATGCCGGCCGGAGCATGGAGTTTCCTGGGGGAGGGGGACTATATACCTTTATGTCGGGTCCTGGGCGCCGACGGACTTCGGGGCCTTGACTCGATTCTGGAGGGGAGACCACGGACCCCCATGATTATCCTGCAATACCTGCAGCTGAAACACTACTACACAAAGCTGCCACACAGAGAACATCTCCACAGGGAATCAACGTGGTTTGAAGACCTGTGCGAACGAGGCACCTCCATAGAGCATGCCATCTCCACAATTTACCAACACCTAATAACGAACGATCAACCATCCGTGGCCACCTTCAAGAGGCGTTGGGAGGAGTCCCTGAATAAGACCACACCACAATGGGATAAGGCCCTGATATGGCAACATAAGAGCTCCATCAGCTCCTACTACCAGGAGGTTGGATACAAATTTATCTCATTTTGGTATCGAACGCCATGGTGCTACATCAAATGTTCCCGGTGGTGCCGCCAACATGCTGGAGATGTCGCGAGGAGAGAGGCACGCTGATCCACCTGTGGTGGGAGTGCCGGGACATACTCCCGTACTGGGACATGGTGAAAACGGAGACGACACTCGTGCTGGGAGATGTGCCGGACTGGTCCGCCGAACTGGCTCTCCTGCACATCTCTCAGCAGACGATTTCAAGCTATAAGAAGTCAATCCTCCGGCACCTGCTGAACACTGCTAAGGCAGCCATCCCGCCATACTGGAAACAAACTACCACACCGACAAAGTCGTAGTGGATACAGCGGGTGGAAGATATACAGAGCGCGGAGGCACTCCATGCCTCCCTAACGGGTAGGGAACTCAAACATGCAGACATGTGGTTCATGTATATTGCTCAACGCCCTTGGGCGGGGGGGCCTCTGGGCCCATGGCGGGGGTGGGGACGGGCGCGGGCCCCTCGTAGTGCGGACCACCCCACTTTAACTACCCCCTCTATTGTTCTCCTTAAACCTCACCCGTTCCCAGACATGCGGGAGGATTCCCAAGGCGAAACAGGTGGGAAGTTACAGGGGTGTGCACACACTGACACACCATTGAATACTGAGACAATACACACACTACATTCACACAACCAACAAGTAATCACATACGTGAACACAAATGTTCCCCAACATACACTGATGCATACCCCTTCGACTGCCAAAGACCCGTGCCTTCCAACTAGAGATTAGGGATTAGAGCCGTATACTATAAAGCATGGTAAAGCTCATCTGTCAGGGTACGGGGAAAACCCGTGATACAAGTTATAGCTGTACAATCATGGTTGATCAGGAGGCAGAATGACACATCCCCTGTCAGATCACAGAAGAGACCGTGGGCGACAGGACGATAGGTGACTTCTCCATTGTTGGGAAACCTGATAGCTACAACTAGCCTAGGAACATAAAGGCACTTAAACACATCACATCCACTCTTACTACATGTGTTCTACATACGTGGTTTTCTTCTGTTCATTATATATTTACTTTTTTATTGTTTATCTCTCTGGCTCTACTCACTACTAGGGACCTGTGAGTCCCATATGTACAACTGTCCTGCCTCCTTGTACTCTTGTTTATGAAAATCTTAATAAAAAGAGATTTACAAAAAAAAAAAGAAAGCCATGCTTGCGGTCGGTCAAATGTGACTTCCATAAAACTTTTGAAACCCTGCTCTTATCTGGGAAATTTTGGGATATGTTGTTCACCCAGATCAGGGCTATCCAGGGATGTAGGATTGTGGGGATATGTTGTTGTTTTGGGGTGTTTCTGGACTTTGGGTAAAACTGGATATTTTCTGCCTGTGGTAATTGAGTTAGTCCATTAATTGTATCACAGGCAGAGGGGAGGGTTTGTGTACATTAGCTAGGAGTGTCTAACTGTACAATACTGTTTTGATTGGTTGTTGTGACTTTGTGTCCTGTGCTCCACAAGGTCCACGTGGGTGGTAACCTTGTGGGAAAAACTGTATATAAGAAATGCCTTTGTGCTCATTAAAGCAGTTCTATTTCACCCTCAATTTAGAGTCCTGTCTCTTATTGGGGAAATCTGCAACAAGGGATTGCTATGCTCTTCATACTCCTTTGAATAATCATTAAGCTCTTGTAAGAGCTTGTTCCTGTTCCAACTTTACTCTCTGGGAAAAGAGAGGTTCACCCACTGGAACCTGGAGCCTTGTCGTAGGTCCAGAGTGTGTAGGAGACGGCGAGACCCCAACCAAGCTGCGGCAGTTCGTGGGGTCTGCAGTGCTTTTGGTCTCTGGTGGAGTGCTTGGAGCCCTCAGGAAGCGCTCGGAGCATTCTTCAACGGTCGGGGTGCCAGGTGATCCGTTACAAGCACTGATGTTGGATGAGAAGGCCTATCTCGCAATCTCAGTTCCAGTTCATCCAAAAGGTGTTTGATTGGGTTGAGGTCAAGTCTCTGTGCAGGCCAGTCAAGTTCTTCCACACCAAACTCGTTCAACCATGTCTTTATGGACCTTGCTTTGTGCAATGGGGCAAAGTCATGCTGGAAGAGAAAAGGACCTTCCCCAAACTGTTCCCACAAACTTGGAAGCATAGCATTGTCCAAAATGCCTTGGTATGCTGAAGCATTAAGATTTTCCTTCACTGGAAGTAAGGGGCCTAGCTCAATCACTAAAAAACAGCCCCATACCATTATCCCTCTTCCACCAAACTTTACAGTTGGCTCAGTGCAATCAGGCAGGTAATGTTCTCCTGGATTTAACAAAGCC